GGCTGGTGTGAAGTGGTCGACATTAGGGTAGGAGTATCCCACGGATTGTAGGGATCGAAGATGAGAGCCGTGTTAGAAGCCTGCAGAAGCAACACTGAGTGGGCACAGGGAAGTGGAGCCCATAGGTGGCGTGAGGCCGGGGTGTAGGGGTGGTGGATCCCTGTGTGCAACCGGCGGGCCAAGCCCGGGCCACCGAGGGACCTGTGAACTAGCCCCGCCCCACTGGGGGAAACAACAAGTTGTGGCAGGCGAGAGCGGGGTTGGCGGCGTGGGAGGACGAAAAACCACGGTAACAAACAGGTCCGGACAGGGAGTAGCCAACGACCCGCTGAGTACAGTTCCCAGGAGTGACACGAGAAGGCCCGTTGGGGACATATCCTTCTCCTGAGAGTCAAGCAGATCACCACATTGGGAGTCAGGAAGGAATTTTGCTCTGTAGCAAGATTGGTGGATTGAAGGGGGTCTTCTTCCTTGAATCTTTTGAGTGTATATTAACAAGACCCATAGCACCAAGACATTAACTGCTGTCGTTCACCTGCTTTACCTGTAGCAGGTTCAGGAGTTATGTCTTGTGCTGTGTCAAGGTTGACTTGTATACAGCAGATTTGTACAGGATGGTTTGCATGGGGATGATACCGCCTCTGTCAGGGAATTGGACTAGAGTAGCGTTTCTCAACCTGTGGGTTGCGACATCAAAAGTGGGTCATAAGAATATAGGAAAAGGTCATAAACAAATCTTTAAAATGGATCAACAAACTTTAAAAATGGAGTAAAATGTGGGAAACTGTGGCTTTTCCCTTGCAGGCTGGCAGAGTTCCAGCCTGCAAGGGGATGCCTGTGAAGGGGCTTGGGGTCCCATATGCCCTCCACCATCCCACCCCCTTCCCACTGAGTCTGGACTGCCACTGATGTTTACAAATGGATCCTGGTACAAAGAAGGTTGAGAACCGCTGGACAAGATGATCTATCAAGGTCCCTTCCAGCCCAACTTTTCTGGGATTCTGTGAAGCAAACACCAGGAGATGGTGTCTATTTGCAGCACCAGAAAAGTAGGAAGAGACAGCCAATGGATGCAAACACATGGGGAAACAAAAGGCACCAATGGGTGAATAATTCTCAGTTTGAGTGAGCGTTTGAGGAGTCTGTTTTACAAATAGAAAAGCACTACGTAATTTTTGCTATTATATATCTTTACTCATGGCGTAGCTTGTCAAGAATTTTCTAGTAATACCTTGAAAAGTTCTTCTTTAATTGTGATAATAAAGTAATAAATTTACCCAGCAGAGATTGCTTCAGGTGTTGACCTGAAGCAGTTTCTGACAAGTTCTAAAGTGACACCAAGCAGAGTTGTTTACACGATTTTAAGTGGAAGTCTGCCAATGATGATGACAGTAGAGGGGACAGTGTGATATAAACAAGAGTGATATTTCTGGGGTTTGACACAAGTCCTTCCCTAGCTTTTTAAGCTTCAATTTCCCATAGGGAATCTTTTAGTTTGAATTTTTTCTTTTTTTCAGGAGAAAAGTGACACCAATGGCTATTTCCATAATGAAAATTTTAAAAACCTTATATTGAACTTGTTTACTGCTGGAATGGAAAGCACTTCCACCACACTGCGCTGGGGTCTTCTCCTAATGATGAAGTACCCTGAAATTCAGTGCAAGTAATTTCATCTCAGTTGTCATTATGCCTGACAGCCACTATCAAGGATTGGGCTGGGACCTCCAGAGTTCAAAGCGTAAGTCTATATAACTTGAACACCTCCGTAGCTTCTGTGGGTCAGGCACAAAGGGGGATAAAAAGCATCACTTTATCCATAGGATATGTGATATTTTTTTCCTTCTTTTAAATCTTAGTAACACTATGATATAGAGTCATTCCATTCTATTCAATAGCAAGGCTTCAATTGCCCACTATGAGTTTTTTTGTCTTTAAAAACCAGGATTCATCAGAACTTAAATGCAGGTGCCTGAGAGCTGAATATGCAAGGATGATTTGACAATTGTGATGAATCTGCCTACATAATAGGTCTGAAGCCTAGTCAATGTTACAGAGTCGTTCTTATGAAGCTGTTGTAATTGGACTGCCTCTATGGGAAAATGTAGCCACCACTGCTGACAAGAGATATTCTTGCATTCTCTCTCAAGAAAAATGATAGCAAAATCAATGGGAGTTTGTTAACCATTATGATTTTGACAGACTTCCATATTCTAGATTGCCGCGGGCCCAACACAGGCCTTCCATTCAGCTCTTCTTCAATTAACATATTATTAGTTCATAGAATCATAGAATCATAGAAGTAGGGTCGGAAGGGACCTTGTAGATCTTCAAGTCTGACCCCCCCGCCTGGGTGGGAGAAAAGACTGGAATCAAATGAGTCCAGCCAGGTAGTCATCAAGCCTCTTTTTAAAGATCCCCAGGGTAGGGGCCAGCAACACTTCCCTAGGAAGTTGGTTCCAGCTCCTAGCCGCCCCAACTGTGAAGTAGTTCTTGCGGATGTCTAATCTAAACCTACTCTCTAATAATTTGTGTCCATTGTTCCTTGTCATGCCAGGGGGCACTAGGGGAAACAGTGTCTCCCCTAAACCCTTCTGGTCCCCCCTAGTGAGTTTATAGACAGTCACCAGGTCCCCCCTCAGCCTTCTCTTGTGAAGGCTGAACAGGTTTAGGTCCCGCAG